CCACGTACGCCCATGGCAACGGTTACCAGGAGACGGGAGGCGGTCACCATAGAGACGGGATGCTGTACCTGGGCGCCAGGGCCTCGCTGGCCGACGCGCTGCCCCTCCACATCGCACCGCGGTGGTTCAGCTCGCACAGCGGTGAGTGCTGGCTTCCCGGAGCCTTCCCCCGGCTTCCCCTCCCCACAGCCTTCCCCCGGCTTCCCCTCCTTCGGTGGCTCACCGGGCCCGGGGATGGCTGTGGCCACGGTTCACCTGGCAAGGGGGGCACTGGGAAGGGGGGACTGCCCCTTGCCTGGCCGTCTGGTTGGACTCCGTTGTGCCAAGCCTGAAAGAAGGACCCCCAACCCCTCCCCGGCATGGAGGGGTGGGTGAGTGCTGGGACTGGCATCTGTGTCAAGGTCAAGGGAGGAAGGGGCTGTGGAGGGAGGAGGCTTTCTAGAAGGGAGGTGTTTTGGTCTGGGATGCAAAGCAGGGGATGTGGCACCCCATCCTTGACTTGAGGCCAGGTGGTCTGTGGTGCTGTAGTTGGAGCCCTTGGGTTTGAAGACCAGGCTGAGCTCCTTGTGGCTCTTTGGAAGGTGTTCAGGGAGTGCTGGTCCGGTATAGCAGTTCCCATGCATTAGAAACTGGGAAATGGGCAGAAGAAGCCTTTGAAAGCGAGGTGTGGGGATTTTTTTTCTTTGTTTCGTCTGATAAAGGGCCAAGGAGAGGCCAAAGTGGGTTTTCTCATTCAAGCCAGCTGGCATGTTAAGCTGCTGGGGAGGAGGCAGAGGAGGAACTGCCTGCTTCTTTAACAGGGCTGGGGAGCTGGCTGGGGTCTCTTGCAGGAAACGTGCCAGGCTAAGGGAGGGGGCAAGGTTACACCCATCCTCGTCCTCCTGGCTGGACCCTGCCATGTGTCTTGGTGTCTGGAGAGGAGCTCTGGCTGCGAGCAGGGCTGTGTCACTGACCTAGTTTTGGCTGGGTACAGGGAACGTGGTGGGAGGTCCTCCCTTCCCCTCCCGGTTAGAGGGGAAGTCATTTCAGGGATGTCTCCTTGTGTTTCCTGGAATAGTCTGGGATTTCTCTCCCACCCGGCCCCCTTGCAAATGCTGTAAGTGTTCTCCTTGCATGACGTGGTCTGGGAATTTCGTAATACGCCTTGGGACAATGCCTCATTTTCAGGAAGGCTTGAAATTGAACTAGTGGACAAGAACAAAGTGCAAAACGAGGCTCATGGGACCCATTTTCCTACTTCCATCTTGGGATTTTTCCCCTTTACGCAGTCTCTGGGGGCGGCTCTTCTCAGTTAGATGGAAACTGTATGTCTTGCATCGCATCCTCAGTGACAGAATGCCCCAGGCCTGGTTCCTATTGATCTGGACAAACCAGGCATTTGCAGTACTCCCCTGGCAGATGGAGAGGGCTGGCTGGCATGTGGCACCAGAGTTGAGACCGAGCGCTTCTGCAAACTTTCTTGCTCTGTGACCTTGTTCAGACTGTGCCACTGCTCTGTTTTTTAGACACAGAAAGAAACTAAAGTGCATAATTCTTCCAGGTGTTCCACAAGCCTCTGTGTGAATGAGTGCCACAGGGCCTTCTACTTTGCCTGGTGCTGCAACAAGGAGGGTTTCATTACAGAAACACCCTGTAGCTAATCTGCACGTAGAGGTGGTCGATCAGAGAGTATCAGTTACATTAAGTGATAGTTCTCAAACTGCAACACCAAGAGGCAAAAACCTGTTCTTAAACCAACTGCAAAATGGAGTAAGCTTTCTCCAGCTGCTTGAATGAGTTAGTGTGATGCTGCTAAACTAAACCCTGTGCCCTTGGAAGATTGCAGCATGAGCTATGGGAAGTGCTGCAAGAACTGAGTTTCTCTGGTGCCTCTTTTGGGGCCCTCCGAGAGCCTTTGAGTTGTGCCGAAGCGTGTGCGAGCCATTCAGTCTGTGCTGAAGCTTCTCCTGATAGTGGTTCTTCCTCGTCGCTAATTAATAGTAAAAGGAGAAGAGGATGCTTAAAAACTGTTCTGAAAACTTGTCAGAGCCTATTAAACTTTTGCATTCTTCCTCTTAGTGTAAGAATGGAGGATTTGGAGACCGAGGGGAAGAAGTAAGCCACCTCAAGATTCCTAAATTCCTGATCTCTCCTATTGCAACGGGTTAACCTGTGGCAGGGCAGTCAGGAGCCGCTTGCTCTCTCCCTGCTGCCTCCCCATCGACCTGCTCCTCTTGTGGCGCTGAGCCACTCCATTAGCCACTGGAAAGTGCTGAAGCAGCAGCGCTCTGGTAAATGGAGAGGAGCTTTGACATTGCTGCGCGTGACCATCCCTGCTCCTTTTGAAGGACGACTCAAGGGTGGGGATGAGGGGACCCACCAACACACCAAGCCCACTCAGGAGAACACATGCCTGGGGTCTCAGGGTTCTGCCTGAGTTGCTGTACTGCCTCAAGGAGAGGAGCTCCCCAAACCATGTGGCTAACAGGTCTGGAGAGTGGATCCTTGCCCCGCCTGCCTTCCTCCTGCCTCTGCACAGGCTGGAGACCTGGACAGTGCCAATCTTGGCACGTGGGGAGGGTTGTCTTCATGGGCTTGCTCTTCAGGAGTACTTGGGTTTGGGACATGAGCCAGGAGCCTCAAAGTGCAGCCTGGGCTCTGTGGGGACCTCAGTGGGACAGCGAGGAGCCCTGGCTTAGTGTGGGTGATAAGGTGCTGTTGTTGCAGCAGCATGCTTGTGATAACAGGAGCTTGCAGATAGGCTCGGCCCCTCGCTGCTCCCTTTATCTATGATGCTGATTTTTTGCGGCTCTCTGGCTCCTTTGTGGCTCATCTGGCCCGTCAGCAGTGACCCTGAGGAGTGAGCTGGGGCAGGCTGAGCTCTCTTCTCCCTGTCTGGTGTCACTCCTTCCCCTCTCTGCCATCAAAGGCTTGCAGAAGAGCCAGGTGTGCCCAGGGAGGGAGAAAGGAGAGCTGTGCTGGGAAGCCTGTGCAGAGGGAGTGGGTTGTGCAGTGGTCCCCAGGGCCAGCACATGCTGCAGCATCAGTGTAAGGTGCTGTGTGTCTTGACAGTCAGCGAGAAGAGCCCACTGCTGAATCCCTCTGGGCTCTGCCATGGCTGCCAGGGTGCAGGGATGGCAGGAGCAGTTATGGACGGATGGAGTCTAGCCCTTCCAGGGTCAGGGGAGGAGAGCTGCTGCTCTTACGAATATCAAAGCCTAAATGCATCTTTCGAAGAGGTGGGTGACGGGGCTATGACCTTTGTGGTGGAGCTTGTCTCTCATTCTGAGGGGACAACACCTTCTTGGGTAAGTGGATCCCTTTTTTTCTGATGGGGATTTTCCCAGGCATGTCCACCATCTACGAAAGCAACGAAACTGCTCTGGGATTTCCCTGTCTGCCCAGGGTTTCTGGGGTCCACTCCCTGGCCTGTGCAGGTGGAAGATAACAGAACACCTTTTGCAACTTTGGAGTTTGCTTGTAGTGCTTGACGCTGTCTCTGTAGCTTCATGACCATTAGGAATTCTCAGCAAAGCCAAGGCTAGCAGGAAGAAAGGAGGAAAAAGGAGATGTGTGGTTTAATGCTGCATGTCTCCAGCTTTGTGTGGTTCTCTTAGTATCACTTGCGTTATTCATCTTCATCAGAGGATCTTGGGGAGTTTGCAGAGGCTTTAAGTAGCTTAAAGTTTATCTGGAAATCCCCCTCATCACCCAAAGCCCTTGAGTGTTTGAAGCTCCAGTAAATCCATATCTCCTTGTCTGCTGGCTAGCCCAAGGAAATGCCTAGCTCATCCTTCTGTGCAGTGCCATCAGGAGTGTTACAGGCTTTCTGTGTGCTGACAAAACAAGCTGTTTGTCCTGGATGCTGGCAGCAGCAAGGTCGGGTGGTCTCTTGCCGCGCGAGCTGCTACGTTCTCAGCAGCGCCGTGCCCTGGGCAGGCTGGCCCAGCCTAGGGGAGAAGGGTGTCTGGTGCAGAGACAGCAGCCAGGCTGCTGGGCTGGGTTCTTCTCCATGCAGGGTTAGAGTGTGAAAGCTGAAAGTGCTCTTTGATCTGGCTCTGGAGTAAGGGATGTAGAATAGGGATCACTTGTTGGAGGGTGAGCTGAAGGGGGCATGTGAACACCTGTGTTGGGTGGCCCCAGTCTGCCCACCTGGGAAGAGGCAGGTCTGTGGTGTGCCCTTGCTGTGCTCCAACAGCTTCGAGTCCTGAGCCTTTTCTTGCCGGTCCTTGATGATCTTCACTCTTGAGCTTGTCCTGCCGTTGCAATCTCTACACCAAAACCGGAAGACTTAATTCTAGTTGGCCAGTCAGTGAGCAGCTGGAGGGAGTCCACTTTCAGCCCTGACTTTCCTGTCACCAACTTTTCAACATGCAGACATCATACCCTAACCATTCTGTGATTCTACGATACATGCTTCCCTCCCCCTTCTACAGGGGCTAGGCTAAGGAAAGGGCACCCCAAGGTCTGCAGGAACTTGCTGTTGTGAATCTATTTTTGCCAGTGGAAATTTCCAGAGGAGATTGTTTTCAAACCATCTTTTTGTAGGTTTGGTGCTGGTGACTGCCTGGCAGTCAGGTGGGGCAGCTGCGGCATTGTCAGGGCTGCAGATTGTTTGGGAAGTGGGCAGATTGTTTGGGAAGTGGTGCAGGAATGGTCCTAATAATGCCCCAGGCTGGACATATTCAGCAGTTGGACTCTGCAGGACTGGAGGGGTTGCTTTTCCACTTCGCCATCTCTGAGCTGGCTGCAGGGCAGTGTATGCCCAGGGCCCGGGGAAGAGGCAGCAGCTACCTTGAAAGAACGAAGCACCAAATACCAGAAGATGGGAGACTCGAAGGCAGCTTTAATGCACACCAGACCCACAGCCTGGAGATGAAGTTTAAGTATGTCAACGTTGGCGTTGTGCGTGAGAAGCCGGCAGCAGCAGCGGTTATCTTCAGTCTCTGCAGCGGGAGCTAGTGCAGGCTGTCGCTGCGCTGCTTTGCCACTCTGGTGCCCTCCGAAATCTCTCGGCCTCCGTGCCTGGGAGTGAGGCACTCATTACTGTGCATGCGAACTGGCTTGGCTGGCCTCACTCCTCTCTAAAGCTGTGCATGAATCAGCGCAGGGGAGCTGTGTGCCCTCTCTGCACATGTACTGTCCAGAGATGCTGAGAATGA